AAAAAGGAAGGGAATTTATCAAAATTGGAGCAGACAAAAACTGGAGCAGCTGTGCATTGCGACCAATCAGCTTCTCTCTTTCATTTTCAACTCTTAACTGAACAAACTGAAGAGAGAAGTTGATTGGTTGCCATGGACAACTGCTCCAGATTCTGTCTGCTCGAGTATTGATAAATCCCCCCACAATGTATTTTGCCAATGGACGCACCCCTGCCATGTCTCCAGTAAAGGTGCCCATACACTGCACGATTCTCGTACGAGAATCGCGGGAAATCCCGCGATCGTACGATAATCGTGCAGTGTATGGAAGGCGTGCGACCGTTTCTAATGTACGGTCGCACGACTTTTGTATTTCGAGCATGTTGGAAAACCAGCCGAGAATCATACGATTTTCGGCTGGTTTTTAACATGATCGAGAGATGACTGTCGAACAGGCCGGTGTGCGCACTGCCCGTTCAGCATTGCAGCCATTGGAAGCCCACCCCTCAGCGGGGGGCGCTTGCGATGATCGCAAGTATGATCTGTCTGTCCAAGATGGGCAGATCGTACGTTTTTTGAATTACTTTACAACCCTCGCAAGACAAATGTCTTGCGAGGGTTGTAAAGTGTATGGGCACCTTAACACAGACCATTAAGATTTTATATGCCAAAATGATTGGTTAAACCCAGAATTGTTTCACCATTTATTTTCCTTTATACTGAACTTGAAATAGAAAATGGGATAATTAAGACATAAGATGAAGGTTTTAGTACAAAATGACACTTTTAGAGGTTGAATAGAACATTTTGAACCATAGCTGTACATCAGTTGTGATGAGCCGAACACTCCCCTGTTTGGTTCTAATTCCTACTTTAGAACATAGAAAAAGTTCTATCTTGAACTTAGAACTCAATGTAAGTGTAATCAACCAGAACTCGCAAAATCAAATGTCACCATTTTGAAGGCTCATATACAAGTTATAGGCCATAAAAAGTGTATGGGGATCCGGGTACTGCCCTGGGGGACAGGAATCAATGAAAAAAACACTTATAAAAAATACAATTTTTGAAGGACCAGTGATTTTAGCATTCTTAAAGTGAAACAATAAAAATGAAAAATTCCTTTAAATATCATGCCTGGGGGGTACCCTTAAACTGCCTGTGAAGTGGCGCATCTTTGCGGTGTATAGAACCTGCTGCAGCAAAAATAACATTTATACAGAAAAAAATAACATTTAAATTGCCAGTAATTGATTTTCCTTTAATCTTGTAAACAACTGCTTGGGGAGGCAGCCCGTATGAAGAGGACAAATTTTAGGACACGTTTAGAGATTATTTGGATAAATTCTGGTGACTCTTTTGCAGATGTTGGATGAAAGTTACAACAGGTGCTTTAAAATTGGGCCTTGGCGGTGCCTTCACACCGAAACCATTCAGTTATTCTGGAGGAGTGCAGGATTGGACCCTGCTCTGACATTTCAAATTATATATACCTGTCTCCTTGTTGGCCTTTCAGACATGATATGGGGCTTTTTATACATTTTTATTAGAGAATGTGAGATGGGAAATTGCGTGTAAGTAGCCTTATATAGTGTGGGGCTGGGACTTAGCTGTGAGCCATGATTGGGCTAAGTCATCATTACTTTGCTAGACTTGTGCGCCGTCCAAAAATTTGTTCTGTTTCGTTTCGTAATATCCGTTATTTCGTATTTCGTAATTCGTGTCAAAACTCAATTCGGATTCGTACGAAATACGAAGTTTCGTTAGTGGCTGTTATATTTTCGTAGATGTACGAACATTCGTTATGATGACGTTAAAAAGCAAAATACCTTTAATATTGGAGTCGATGTGGTAGTTGTTTTTTCTAGCTGAAATACGAATTCCGTTAACGGATTCCGTATCCGAATTTCGTAATTTCGTATTTCCTGCCTATTTTGCAACTCAGCTCAGCAGCAGAAGAGAAAACCCATTGGATGGTCAGTCAACCAAAACGAAATACGAATTCCGTTAACGGATTCCGTATCCGAATTTCGGATTTAGAAAAAAACTACCATCAATCAATTACGATATAAATGTACATTGCTTTTTACCTTCAATATAACGGATGTTCGTAACGGAACGAAATTCCGTAACGGAATTTCGTATTTCCTGCCTGTATGTATTGTAATGCAACCCTCAGCAGCAGCGGATCTGTATTTCGGATTTAAAAAAAAAATCTTGTCATGTTGTTCAACCTCATTTACAGGGGTAATATTAGTTCCCATTTCAAAGAAATTCGAATCCGAAATTCGGAACAGAATTTCGTATTTCGGATATATAATTCGGAAAATGCAATTCGGATTCGGATGCTTCAGGAAAATTTGTACGAATTTCAAGTCGTAACGAAACGAATCGCACATGTACATGTACATGCACATGTATTGCACATTACACAGTACTGTGCCCTGATTGCGCAAAGTCTTGCACCTGACCTGTGGTCAGGTGCATTGGTTTACCCAATCAGGGCTCTCCAATGCAATTAGTGCATTGTGGGTTGTTCAGCAGGCGAACAGCCCGCACCCTGACAGTTCGTGTGTTCGCCAATCACACAAACTGCCGCTGTTCGAGCCCATGCCTATACATCAGACCAAAAAGAGAGACAACCAAAGAGGAAAGAGGGACAGGGGGATTTGGTTCCAAATGACAAACACAGACATATCTATGATCAGGGGCGTAACTAGAAATCACAGGGCCCCGTAGCAAAATTTTGTATGGGGCCCTGTGATTGCTAGTTATGGCACTTGCAGAGCCCACCTGAGAGTGACCCTGCAGAGCCCACCATAGACAATCTATAGTGTGCTCTGCAGGGTCTCAGATGGGCTGCAAACCTTACCAGTCAGCGCTGTCCGCCTCTTTGGTCGCCGGGCCCCGCCTCCTCTTCCGCCCCGGGCCCCGCCTCCTTCTATCGACGGGCCCACCTCCTCTTACATCACTGGCCCCACCTGCTCTTAGGTCGCTGGCCAGTGATGTAAGAGGAGGCGGGGTTGCTCGTAGGCGGGCCCCGCCTCCTCCTTCACTGCTGCGGTCCGAGAACTCGATGAGTTCGAACTTTCGATCGAACACCTGTGTAACCGGCTTCTTCTGCTGCAGCTGCTGGCTGTCACTGACACAGCCGCTGCGGAGCTGTGTCAGTGACAGCCAGCACCCTGATATGCCATAGCGACCCACACGGCATTAGAGGGATGACCTGGCCGGGCCCCCCTGTGCCCGGCCCCAAAGCGGCCACCTGGGTCGCTATGGCGATTGTTACGCCACTGTCTATGATCAATCACAGTGATGCCAAGGTACAGAGCTCCTTAGATCAACATTATACTCTTGGGGAAATTTATCAAAACTGGAGCAGCCAGAATCTGGGGATGTTGCCCATGGCAACCAATCAGCATCTCTCTTCCGTTTGTTCAGTTAAGATTTGAAAATGAGAGCTAGAAGTTGATTGGTTGCAATGCAAATCCGCTCCAGATTTTGTCTGCTCCAGTTTTGATAAATTATCCCCCACCGTGTCTGTGAACAGAGCTGATGGAGGAAAGCATTACCGGGCACAATGCCTGCCCAATGGTTTTTCTGCTGTGCCGTTTATAAACAGCAGTACAGAAACAGACATCCACCACTCTGTGTTCTAAAATGTTCCTTGGTAAGCAAGTGGTTAAAGAAGCACCAGCACGACCTATTTGCGGCTATACATTTTAGGACACCTCAGTTGTATGCTTACTAGGTCTGTATTGCGATAAACTTCCTGACCAGTTGGGCCTGGGATAAGAAAGCAGTACCAAGAACAGACTTCTGTTTAATATGTGATATTAAACCTCAAATATTAATGAGTACCATTGGTGGTAAGATCTGTATTATGATAGTTATCCCGTAGTTGCATCTTCTGGACTTGTAGTCCTTCTGGGCTGTGTACAATCACAGGTATGAAAGGTCAGAGCAATAATTCAGACCATGTTTCGTGAGCAGGTCCCCATCACAGGGCCACCCGAACTTGGTCCAAGCAGAGAGTGGCCCTTCTGACCTGCATTTGACCTGCTTCAAGCCGGTTTTTCATTGCAATAGATTTGTATCGGAATACAAAACCTGTCTGAAGGATAGAAAAGCCAATGGATACAGTGCAACAGCTTCTTTTATATTGTACGCAAAACTTCACATGCCTTGGGACACTGAATCAAGCGGAAACAAGCGTCGGTAGGAGGAGGAGGAAATTGTCACGTGACTTTGAATAAGGCTCTTGTATATTTATAACACTTTGCAGTGTTATAAATATACAAAACAAAATTATATATATGGCTTTCTGAGATGAGAAGAAAAAACACAATAGAATCAAACCAGCTTATAAAGATTTACAAAATGTTTTTATTAACATAGAAAACATTAAACTACCCATACTACAGGGTGTCATGACTGAGTAATTGTCAAATAATCGGAGCACTGAAACTGGCCTGGCAGTAATGGGATATTATAGGCTGGTACTCAAGTGGTTAATCAACCATGGCAGCTCCCATATTCTTACTCTCACAGGTTCACTTTAAAAAATCCATGCTGAATTGGCAGCTCTGCTTGACCTTGCTATAGGGACAGAAAAATAAATTCCATTACTCTGTGAACCCTCTCCCTCTATGGCTCCATGTGCCAGGCTGTATAAAGATAAGATAGATAATACAAATACATTGGGGGGAATTATCAAAACTGGGGCAGGCAGACTCTGGAGCAGTTACCCATAGTAACCAATCAGCTTATATTTTCAGTTTGTTCAATTAATCTTTGAAAATGAAAGATAGAAGCTGATTGGTTCCCGTGCTCCAGATTCTGTCTGCTCCAATTTCTATAAATCAGTATATTGAAGTTTTGTTATTTAACGAGATCATGATCTTCGGAATGTACATAGGAGAACCACACACATGATATCACTAAAACGAGTCCTGGGTTTTCCGATGATTCTCAGCAGGAACTTCCATGACGGCGATCCACCAGCGTTATGTACTAGTTACCATAGCCACGCCAGCGCTTTGCATACGTCATCGGTGTGCGCGGCGCCGCCGCCGCCATGTTTCTGGTGGGTATGTGTCGTGGACTGGTACGTCATTAGCCGGAAGGGTGTCGTGGACCTGTAGAGAGCTCCATCTAGCAGCGTCAGTACTTCACCTGCCAGGAGGACCGACAACAGGCGAGAGCCGGGCAGGTATGTGTGTCCCGGGGGATCGTGATGAGGAATGGAGAATTGACCTTTCCGGGGGATCGTGATGAGGAATGGAGAATAGACCTTACCATGGGGTCATGTTCATCCCTATGATGGTCTATGGATGATGACTGAGCACGTCATCAGTGTCAGGATGGGGACAGGGAGGATGACGATGACAATGTATAGGGAGGCAGATCTGGTGTTCTATTCATATCCATTATACCATCACAGTGGTATAATGGATATGAATGGATGTATTTATCACAGTACAGTATGGAATGTATTAGTACCGGGAAAGACCTGATTGCACTATGCTGTGTCTCCCATCCACTGACCACAGATCAAATAATGGTCCATGGTCAGTTCATTCATAGAGGTTTTAGGCCCGCTCACATCTGCGTTGTGGTGATATTTGCAAAGATTCACGTTTTTTTTTACACTTTACCCATATCACCTTCAAGAAGTTTCAGTGGGTGCTGTAGTGACCAGCGGATAGCACCACACAGAACTATGAAGACAAAGTCGCCAGCACACCAAAGTCCACCTTGTCGATCCGTCTTTATTGATGCCAAATAAGTATGGTATCACAAGGACACGCAACGTTTCGAAACTACAATGATGGCTGATGAAGGAATCGCATATTGTTCTCAAACGTTGTGTTTCCTTGTGATACCATGCTTATCTGAAGCAGGAATGTGCGAATCCTATCACCTGACGCCAGGAACATGCAGTTCTGTGCCCCGGCAGGTGTTTACTTTTCTGCATTTAACCCCGCTCAGCTGAGCGCCTCCAAACCTGGAAGAGACATGGGGCTGGCATCTGCTTCCATGCTTGGCGTGGACACATCACAACAACAAGGAAGAGGGACTGTATCATTCCCAATGAATGATTGTGCAGCGCACCTAAGTGGGATATTGGGTTGACTTGCGATACAGCAACACAATGGTCTGAAAAGACAGTTTATGTCCTGTCAGGTATGTATTCAAGCCCGTGGTGCAAAGGCGCGGACCTTCACGTGCAGTGTGTCGTGCAATTTTCACTCCAGCAAGTCAGCTTGCGACAGCTCGCGTAGCTGAACGTGCCAAGATGAAAAATGTCAGCTTGCGTGTATAAACCCACGCCATCAGGATGCGAAAGTCCATGGAGCTGTTACGCATGAGCCCATTGGCTGACGATAAAGTCTTTTATCTGGTCGCGCTCAGCTACTCTAAGCACTCACACACTGCATGCGCACGTCTGTGCCTCGCAGCTACGCTTTGCTCTAGAGCTGCAGCTAACGATTATTTTCAAAATCGATTAGTTGGCCGATTTATTGAGTTCGATTAATCGGTTAATCGGATAAACAATAAAATACATTTTAAAACATGGCTCCAGTGATGGGACTACTAGTTTGTATTGAGATTGCAGTCCATCACAGGAGCAAGCTTCGAGTGGTGGAAGTAAAAAAGAAAACAAATAGTGTGGTGTGCAATATAGTGAAATGGAAAGTGTAAAATTATACAGCAATGAATGCAGAATGGCACCGGCTATAGAGGACTACAAATCCCAGCTATAATACATTATACAGCACAATGCAGAATACCACCAGCTATAGAGGAATACAACAAATCCCAGCAACAGTACATTATAGCTGGTGGTATTCTGCATTGCGCTGTATAATGTACTGTTGCTGGGTTTTGTAGTCCTCTATAGCTGGTGGTATCCGGCATTGCACCACTGTATAATGTACTATTGCTGGGATTTGTTGTACTCCTCTATAGCTGGTGGAATTCCGCATGACGCTGTATAATGTATTATTGCTGGGATTTTTAGTCCTCTACACAGCGCAGTGCAGAATATCACCAACTATAGAAGAGTACAACAAATCCCAGCAATACATTATACATACAGTGTATGATGTATTGCTGGGATTTGTATTCCTATGTATAATATACAGCACAATGTACCATCAGCTATAGAGGACTACAAATCCCTGCAATACATTATACATACAGTGTATAATGTATTGCTGGGATTTGTATTCCTCTGTATAATATACAGCACAATGTACCATCAGCTATAGAGGACTACAAATCCCTGCAATACATTATAGAGCACCATGTGTGGGAAAGTGCAGGCTTACCTGAGCAGTCTTCCAGCAACTTGCTTCTGAGATAGGGTCTGCCTGAGATAGGTGCGTCGTGTAAAGCGTGGATGCGGGTCTGGCAGCGGTGAGCGTGATTTGGGGAGGAGGTGCAGCGTGTGTGGAGCCGTGAACAGGGCCAACTGATCGGAAGCCGATTAATCGATTATTGAAAAAGTTGACAACTTTTTCAATAATCGATTATAATCGATTATGTCGATTAGTTGTTGCAGCCCTACTTTGCTCCGCAAGGCTTCGCGTGCAGTGTGTCACGAGCTTTACGCATTATTATTATACAGGATTTATATAGCGCCAACAGTTTGTGCAGAGCTTTACAAAATTAGGAGGACATTACGGTTCCAATAGAAGTCAAACAAAATGGTAAGGAGGGCCCTGCTCGTAAGAGCTTCAAATCTAAAACATCTACCTACATCGTTGGGTAAAGCTAAAAGAGATGGTTCAATCAGATTGTGATGCTTCTGGCTGGCTTTAAAGGTGGGGAATCATTTGACAAAGTCAGTAAAAGGAAAATGTCCAGGTGGCTATTGTTATTCTGTGGGCTCAGAGCATGGGGCTGCAGGACACCTATTGCTGACATGTTGGTGATACCTACCTATTTTGAGGTGAACGCTTTTGGAAACAGTTAGGCGTCTATAATTGAAGCAGTGAATGTGACTATCATTAAACATTGTCAAACTTGGAAGATTCACATGTAAATGTTTGCTGAATATCAGATGTACTGCTTTGTAAATATGCCTCTTAGTTTCCTTCTTCAGGCATGGCTATATTCAACAAATCTCGAAGTTACCAAAGTCCCCATTACTGGTCAGTGTCGCATAGCAATACCATTAGTTTGGCTGAACAGCAAGTAATGGAAGTTCTCTTAGTCTGCTTTTATCCTTAGCAAGTGTTAGGGGGTCTATTTAAAATATATATATATATATATTACAGCTACTCCTCCTGCGAAACTTCATGTACATTTGTTCTGTGCAAATTAACCAGCTGTTTTGAGAATGGGGCAAATGTTATTGTTCTTGGGGTATTTTCTCTTCTGGTTGAATGTTTTTCAAATGTTATGCACTAGTCAATAGGGAAAATATGTAATTATGGCCACTAGATGAGGAAATAAATACTTTATAAGTAAGAAGAGATACAATATAGCAGTGAATGCTGGAAGAAATTTACAGATAAATGTAACCAGATCCCACAGTAGTAATGATTACATTTATCTGTGAATTCCTTCCTTTGTTCTCCTACAATTGTTACATTGTGTCTCTTGTTACTAAGATGTATTTATTTCCCATCCTCTTCAGCTCCATCTAGTGGCCATAATGCAGTATTTTCCTGATTCACTACTGCCCATAATATTTGAATATTGTTTAGCTAGAATAGAAAATAGCCTTTGGAACATTTGGTGTTACCCCATTCTCACAGCTGGTTAAGCCTTAATGTTTCCAAGATGAATGAATTCTTGAATTCATGTTTGTTTTGTATGTTTGTTTTTCTTTAGCTTTGCAATAACCTGGTTTTTGTTTTTCAGAACATTTTTTAGCATATCGGCAAGCATACTGAATATGTTTGGCAGTTAATTTTATTTATTCACTTTTATCACACATTTAGACAACATGAAATAAAGCTCAAATATTGTTTTAATTGGAACAACAATCCATGGCTGGCAGCCCAGCTATCGGGGTACCAAATTGGTACAGTTCCACTTTTAAGATATATTCAAAGTGTTTCAGGTTGAAAGCCTCCCCCTACCTCTGGATTTGAGCTATGGATGTTAATGAAATCACAAAATTATGCACTAGAGTACCTAAAATTAAGGCTGGATGAAAATTAGGGTCTCAACGGCACTAAGATTGGCAAGCCGCTTTTAGTTAGTTTTAATCCATCTTTAATTTAGATACTTTAATGCATGTGATCGTGATTTCATTAACATCCATTGCTCAAGCCCTAAGTAAAGGGGAGGCTTTTCCCCCCCGAAATGTGTTGGCTATATTTGATACCAATTAACGTTTCAAAAATGCAGACATTTGTTCTAGGCACTCCTCATTACACATTCAAGAGTTGAGCGTCTGAGCTTTTTGTTTATTGTAACTGGAGAGGTAGCAGCCCAGGACCAGAACAAGGTCCACATACACTACTTTCACTGCAAATCTGTGTCCTAGAAGGAAAACGTATTCCACTTTATATCCTTTAGAACCATTTCCACATTCATCAGTCCAGCACCATCATGCATACATCAGGCTTTAACATACAGTATGTATTTAACCTGAGTTTGGCTGGAGTTACAAAATTAATGGCAATGCACATGACACTGCAGTGTGTTGTTGTACTGCGTTGTTGTCAACCGGCCTGAAAGCATTGGAGTTTCCAGTTGAATTACCCATTAATATTTTTACTCCTTTTGAATATATTCCCTACCACGAAAACATAATCTGTGCTTTTTAACTTTAGTCACACTGGTATTATTAGATTAAGATGTTACACACCTTTAGTCACATATATTGTATTTAATAACAGTGAAGAGTGAATAAGAGTGAAGAGTGATGAGATAAAGCAGATAAAACAAGCTAACTGGGAGGGCAGTAAACCGGAATCATCCAATCAGAAATTACCTCTGAATTTCTATGACAGCTGTAAATGTGAAATGTATTGGCTGCCCTGGGTTGTTAAGTTTTCTGTACCTGGAAACCTTAGGTCTTCTTAATGATAGGGTCTTCTAGCAGGATCACCGCATACTATATAAGGGGCACCTGGGAGTGCACTGCAGTATGGAGGCAGCTAACGATTATTTTCATAATCGATAAGTTGCACGATAATTTTTTCCACTAATCGATTGGTTGCATTAAAAAAAAAATTCTCTCCCTTATAATCGATTAGTTGTTGCAGCCCTACACTGCAGAAAGCACTAACGCAGAAATCTGGACAAGAACTTCAAGTGCTATTAAAGCTTATGTATGTTTTTTTCTAATGCTTGCCTTATGTGATGCCTCTCAATGTATATATTCTCTTCTTTCCACCCAATATCCTGTTTTTGGTTGTCTACTTACAGCGTCCCAAGGAGACACCCTTGTACGCGATCCCATCATACATACACTGCTTTACATTGCAGGAAGCCACCTCTTCCCCCCAGTCCTGTGTCCTCCAGTGCCATGCTCCTCCGCCCTCACTGTGTCCTCAGAAGTTCAGGAGAAGTGATACAATGTGGCGCTGGGGGACAGAGAAGAGAGAGAAGTAGATGTTTGGCACATACTATTAATCAATATTGTGCTGGGGAATGTTCCCCTGATTGAGGCGCGTCCAAAAAAGGCTAAACGGTTGTAGCCTTTAGAAGTAATCGTGTACTCTGGCTATACTGGTCGGAATAACGGGCTCCTTTTGCTGAAGGGACCCTAAGAAGCACTTGAAGTGGAGCTACACCCTCCTACCTCTTACAGCCAAAGATGGTGCCATCTTAGCCTCTATTTGGATTGCAGTTGCCATGGTGCTGAATAGGGATGTTCACATACCAAGTACCGTACTTGGTACAAGTACTGACACTGTCTAAATTGGTGGGTCAAGTTCCACCTTAACCGCCTTCCGGCCAGCCGTTGTTCAAAAACGGCCGGCTGGGAGCTCCCTGGATCTGAGCGGGCGTTTTTAAACGTCTGTTCAGCCAGGCCCACTTACGTGCGAAAACGACGATTGCTCCCAATACGCTGCACATATTATATATCGCCGCAAACATCGCAGTGAGAGCAATAATGTTAGGCCCATCAATCACTGATAACACTAAACAGATAAGCGGCAAAAGCTTTTAAAGCGTCGCCTATGGCCAATTTTGGGTATGGTAGTTTTTTGCGATTTCGCAGATGCGTGCAATTTTAAAGCTTGACATGTTTGGTGTCTATTTACCTGATGTAACCCCATCTTGTATATTTTACCTAAAAATTGGGTAATAATAAATGTTTTATAACGGAATGCAGGAAAAAAAAATGTTTCCCCCAAAATTTTCACAAACCTTTCGTTAATATAGTAAAAAAAAAAAAAACAACCCCCAGTGGTGATTTATATACCACCAAAAGAAAGCTCTATCTGTCCCAAAAAAATTGAATAAAATGAATTTCAGTACAGCACTGCGTGACGGGAAAAATGTCAGTCAAAGTACCGCAGCGCTGAATACTGAAAATGGCCTGGACAGGAAGGGGGTGTAAACACCTGGTCTTCATGTGGTTAACTTGTCTTCCTGTTGCTCCCCTGTCACCCTGTCAGCTGCCAGAGCCCCGAGAGGTACCCTGTTTGGTTGCCATAGGTACACTTCTGCTCATGGCCCACAATTCAAATCTTCAGGGAATAGGATTTTCTGCAAAAAATTGTGCTAACAAGAAATGTTCATGTTGCCCATAGCAACCAGTCAGAATCCTTTTTCTTTTCTTTTTCCTTTTTAAGATCTGTACTGCAGAAATAATGGTTGAAGATGACAGGTTTCTATGAGCACCAAACACTTTTCTTATTAAAACACTTTTCATTAAAAAAACTCAGTTATGGAGAGAACTGCTGCCTTTTCTGAGGTAAACACTCCATATTCCTGCCAGCACTGTACGTTTTCTGTCATGTTTCTGTATACATGGCAGGAATATCTGTGAGGAAAGACATGGGAGGACTTGCTTGCTTGCCTCTGGCGTTATACAGTCACTGCGGTGTGTGTGCTTTTTCTGAGAATCCTTTATTTAAATTACATCTACTTTGCCATAACCTAATAAACATTCTCAGCCCTTGTTATCGGGTTGTATAAAAAGCTCCTTTGCCAGAACTTTACCAAGGCTTGCTTCAAAGATGTTCTGAAACAGAATTTGAATTGCTCAGTATAAAGCAAATCAGTATGGCCTGAGGGCTTGTTCACACCATTTTCTGGTCCCGATCTGGTGCAGATCTGCAGACACGGTGCTATGCGTGCAGCGCGTTTTACCGTGTTCTGGATGCGTTCCAGTTCCTTTTTTTTTTTTTTCCTGTTTTTTTGTGGAGTGGGGCTGTCGGCTGCTAACTGCTGTGTGGTGTGCTTTCGGCGCGTTCGGGTGCATGCAGTATTTTTTCTGAACGGAACTGGGGAGAACTGGAGCCCATAAAACACATTGGGATGCATTTTTAGTGCAGGAGTGAACTGTTCTGGTCCGGACATCGTGTGAACAAGCCCTTAAGGTAACCTGTATGGGAGTGACCATTGCAGAGTAAGCAGGCCTTGGGGCCATCAACCTGCACCTGGCTTATTTCAGCTCACTAGACGGGTCTTGAGTCCAGCTCGGAGGACTGGGTGAGTGTAAATGTTTTATTTTTTCTAAGTAAAGGTATTTCTTAAGCAGAGAAGATTTACGTAGCGCAACCAGCCAATCGGTAGTAATGGATTAGATCATGCATCTGCTGAAATCATGGGGGCAGAGTTCTTTCCTCTACAACGATGTACTGAGTTGAGAAGGGTGGAGACAGATGGACACATGGCAAGTTTGACTTCTTTTTAGAAGAAGATTTCAATGACAGATATAGTCCCCTATATTATTTAAAAGGTTCAAGCGTGTGACCTGCTATAAGGTCAGGTTGGAATGTAATTGCTCTTATTGAAGCTTCCGGGATTACAGCATCGACATGTTCAATAGATAGTAATAGTACTGCTGTCACATTTAGTGTTTATCATTCAGATCTGTTAATAAAAAAAATTTCTTTCTTACAGTGCAATGAAGATCTGTTATATTTTGCTGTTTCCTATCCTGGGACTCAGTTTTGCTGTCCCAATTGAAAGAGCACCACCAAAACAAGAGGAGGAGCGCCCTGCCGAATCCGCAGTAAGTACCCTTCTTCTTCCATACATAGTGAGGGCAGATGTGTTACAGCTGAAGACAAGGAGAATATACAACGTTTTATATTTTTATTCTAATGACGAGCTCTAACATTTAAAAAGGGTTAAAGTATTTCTCAAATTAAAGTTTCCGTTAAACACTTTGGTTAGAATAGGGTTTTGGTTTTTTTAGGGGGGCGGAGGGGGTTGCTGTTTGTTTCCCTTTTGGCAGATGACTCTTCTTTTACTGTTAGGGAATTACTGAGTTACCGGTATCTCCATTAGAAGATTTCCCCTCACCTGCTCTGTGGTTGGATTTCCCGTTACTTTGTGACAGCTAGTGAGGCTAAATCTCATCAGTGAACAGAGGCAACAATACTCTAGCCAGATAAAACTATTTGTCTCAGACTAAGGTCCCATTCACACTGAGTGATTCGCAAATCGTGCGTTTGTTGCGCGATATCGCGCAAATGCTTGCATTGAGCAAGCTAGAATCGCGGCAAAATCCGCTCCAAAAAGGGTCCTGCTGTAGCGACGCACGACCCGCGACAGCGACGGACAGAGCCCCATTGCCATGCATTGGAGAGCGATATCGCGCGGTAAATAGCCGCGATATCGCGGGAATTAGCGCGCGATAAATCGCTCAGTGTGAATGGGGCCTTAAGGTGTATCTAAACCCAAAAACAAAATGACTGGAACTTATCAATTTATCAGAACTGGAGCAGACAGACTCTGGAGCAGTTACCTACAGCAACCAATCAGCTTCTCTCTACCGTTTGTTCAGTTAAGCTTTGAAAATGAAAGCAGTTGATTGGTTGCCCTGGGTAACTGCTTCAGATTCTGTCTGAACCAGTTTTAATACATTCTTCTCGCTGTATTGTTTTCCGACAATACTTAAATGTGTTGGCTGCATTCATTTTTTTTTTTTTTGCCTTTTTTATTTTCACCTGGTGATCCATCTAGTAATGCACTTCCTCACTTGGTCCCCACTGACACCTAGGCGATCCGTGAACACGTGCCAAACACGGGTAGAAAATCCATGCTATGACACATATTAACAGAAACCGACAAAAACACGCAACGCGCTTGCAGTGCCATTACTAGTTAAAATGCGCACAAACTATGGGAAAAAAACGCAGGACACTTGTCAGAAATTTTGCTACATGAGCTTCTCTTCTTTCCCACCTTTGTCACATGTGTAGGAACCTAATGAAATCAATGGGGATGTGCAATAAATGCTGGAGAAAATCATGTGCAAATGTGACGTGCATTCCTCGTATACCTAGGTGTGAACGGGGACTTATGGTGGCTCCACTCTGAATAGCAGCATTGTCATCCTGCGGGGAGGGTACTAAAAACAAGTGAGCTAGTGCAGCCAGCACACCTAAGGATTGGAAAGCTGCAATATATTACGTGTTTTGGATGGATACAGGTGAAGTCAAAACTTTCTTTTTTTTTCTCTGTCAGTAATGAGGCAAGGATGAGTAACACCATCTCGTGGCTTGCTTCATCAAGCAAGGTGAAAGAGGAAGTTCCTAGTTTTTAGTACACGAAACACTACAGGTTTCCTGTGAAAATCGTGATCCAAATTTACCATGGTTGCACTATAAAGACTGATTGAATATCGGACCAGTTACTCAATAGCTATTTTTTCTACGGACCCCAATGGTTATACTTTTGCAATGCTCAGTCACAATAGAAGATCCATAAATAACAAACTGTGAGAATTTTAGGGATAAATATTCTTATATACAGCTGTGTTATAACTATGGGAAATGGAGTGTCAGGCCATCGGAACGGTTAAACGAGGATCTAATGATGAATGAGTCACACCTGTGTGGAGTGATTTGGTGCTTAGAAAAACAACTCTTTTAGCATTCAGTGTATCTCTGATTAAGCCTAATGGTGAAATGCGTTGGGGTTGAGGATCCAGGGGGAGATATGGACAGTGCGCTTATTGCTCCTTAAATAAAGACTTTCTATTTCTGGACAAGACCCTGTGCGGTATGTTTTGAAATTTTGAAGTTTTTATAAAGCATTTACAAAGCTTGCAGCTCCATTGTTGGGATTTTAAACACAGACCAGACTGGGATTGCTGGCTTGCTGAAGTATATTGAAAGCCTGCTAAAGTTTGCTAGTAGGTTTTTTTTTGTTTTTGCTGGCACTGCCATTATGATCTGCCTACTGAGCAGGCAAACTGTGTTCTCTGTTTGCAACACAAGTTATATATTTTTTTTTCAATTTTGGTTATATTCTTTTATAAAATGGAGCAGCATATATTTCCTTCCAACATACAATCTTGCTTTTGTCACAGGACACTGGCCTGTACTACGATCGCTATCTGCGAGAGGTAATTGACGTGCTGGAAACAGACAATCATTTCCGCGAGAAACTTCAAACTGCCAATGCAGATGACATCAAGGTAAGATTGTGTAATAGAGCCAGTTATTTAATGTGTACGGCACACTTCCAGCCTGTCCTGGCATAGCTAATATTTGCATTACTGTTTGTTGATTTTGTCTTGGTGGAGGAGCAAAGTACAGTTGTAACATAACAACTGAAGATATTATCATCTCTAGAGTTTGGACTTAATTCCTCCACTTTGGCACATCTATGACATTGCTGATCTTTGGAATTTGTTGGAACACAGGCCACTGAATTGCATGCAATGCCTTCTGGTATATAATAACTTTTGTTGTTAGGAGGTGCAGTTTTCAAGGCAGTTGCTTGATCTTTGCTACCTAGTGAATCACTGATCTCAAATAAGCATGGAGCGAGTGATGTCTGAACTAAATGCGTGTTAAAGATCAGTGACTCATTAGCTACTGAATGCAGGTTGGGGATGATGGCTTCAAGCCTGCACCTTTTTAAAAAAAAAACAAAAAAAAAAACAGTAGCAGCTCCTATATTTCTGCCCTTGCACATACCACATGTCATGGTAATCAAAGTAATAAAATAAGCTCAAAGCTCCAATATGTTTTAATGTTTGTCAGACTTCTTTCCTGTGATGAGTAAAAGTGTTTTGGGGGTTATAGGGCTCCTGGATTATTCTGCCCCCACGAGCTGCTGCCCCTATTCTAGGGCTACAGCTAACGATTATTTTCATAATCAACTAGTTTTTTTTTAAATTATTAATCGGATTAAAAAAAACATCTTTTATTTAAAATAAAATACACAACTGCAGTGTTACAAACATAGTTTACTTCAGAATAAAACTGCACATTTTTTGCAATCGCACCACACATTTCAGTGTAGGCAATAACACTGCGGGTAGGAGGCGCGTTTCGGGTGCCACTGAAATGAATGGCATTGCAACGCACATTTTGTAGCAGAATTTTTCAGGCCGAAACCAAAAATGGCTTCTTTCACACAAGATAAAAAATTGAAGTCAGACTTGCAGTGCTAGTTCCCCATCTTTAATTTGATTAGCAGGAGAGTAGCATGCTTGGGTAGACTAAAGCTGGCCGTACACCTTACAACCATCGCACGACTTTAGTTGTGCGATTGGTTGTAAGGTGATTAGAATTTCGTACAATCTGCCCATCTTGGACAGGCAGATCGTACTTGCGATCATCACAAGCCCTCCCCTCTGAGGGGAGGGCTTCCGATGATTGCAGTGAGGAGAGGGCAGTGTGCGCTTGCGGCATTCGTCTTCTGAGAACGCCACCAACGCACCGAAAATTGTACGATTCTCGGCAGGTTTTCCAGCGTGCTTGGAAGACGAAATTCGTGCGACTTTACAGTAGAAGCGGTCGCACGCTGCCCATACACCTGCCGATTATCGTGCGATAATCGGCAGGTGTATGGGCACCTTTTAGGGAAAGCCTGAGGCCTTAAAGTAGGATAAAGCAAAGCTGAATAGCTAACATGAAAAGAAGACTAGAACTCCCCTTCCTGACTTCAGGGGAGAACACAAAATATTATATATTATGCAGTATGTTGTCCTGTTTGACCTGATTTAAATTTCAATCTATATTTTAAGTATTTTAGTTTTATAGTCCATAATACAACAAAAAAATATGTATAAAAACACTATAAAGTCACTTTAATGGCTATGCCCACTTCTCTTTTCAGAGTGGGAAACTCAGCAAAGAGCTGGACTTTGTAAGTCACCATGTGAGGACCAGACTGGATGAGCTCAAACGACAGGAAGTGTCAAGGCTCCGCATGCTAATTAAAGCCAAGATGGATGCCACCATGGAGGAAAGTAAGTAGAGACACATTTGGCTGGTTGTTGTTGGTTACTTGCACACCCTCTTTTTGGAGCAGCACAGGAACCACTAACGTTTTAGGCCGTGGCTCCTTTCCTACCAACTACATTGTATGCAAGCCTTCCCCCACTGCATAAATGTAGTCCTGTGTGTCCAAAGCAATTCAAAACTTGTATAGGTTAGAAGCTTAAAATGCATTGTGCCATGGTCTTAGGTGGAATAATATTTAAAAAAAATCAAAAAAGGAACAGTGCCTTGTGTAGTGGTGACTTTGGTAATAATGCAAAGCATCCCTACAAACTGCTGACACTCAAGAGACACCAGCCAGGCGTTTAAACTGAACCTTTTATCCTGTGGCTGGTGTGAACTATACTACATGTTGATTTCCTCTTTGCCCCTTGCACAATCTGTGGCGAACTACTGTGGTGAATTTTGGAGATTTGGCTATATATATATATATATTTCTTTTTTTTCCTGCATTGGCATCCAGTGTACTGGGGAGAAATGTAGCACGTCTGTATTTTACCACACTGCACATTACATGAGCATTGTGGTGTGAATGAGGCCACATAGAAAACATCAACTCATGTGCCACAAGTATAGCTTTTTGGTCTAGAGCTAGTATGTGACGCTTGCACACAGATGTTTTGCTTCATAACAGATGATACATGTTGCAGTATTTAATTATCTGTTCACTGTAATAACCTGACTGCTTTTGTGTTTTTTAGATGTTCAGATTGATCACCTTGCTTTATTGAAGCAGTTTGAGCACTTGGACCCCCAGAACCAACACACGTTTGAGGCCCGGGATTTGGAATTATTGATCCAGGCTGTAAGCATGACACAGTATTGGGATGTTACTATTTTGTTTACAACACACTGATTGCCTGATGATAATGTAACCAGAGTATAATTTATTGGATCCAATTTGTGCGAATGTTTATATAGATCTGAACAAATTTGTTGAGACCCTTACAGCTCATTGATGCACTTTGCCTATCCTCCTAAAAAGTTATGAAATTATAAGCAATTTTCTTATGTATATCTGCCTGCCTTTGCTTTGTCCCGAAGTAAAGCAAAGAAAGTTTGAAAAGACATATATATGACTGCCTTTACTGCAAAATATATACTAAAATGGCTTGGGCAGATAGCTTGGTACAACTGGAAAAGATTATAAATAATTGGATCTTAGTGATATTTCCAACTAACTGTGTTCTGTAAGTAGTATCACACTTGTCTTCAATCTTGTAATCAGTCAGTCAGACTATTTAAATAGAGAAAAGTGGTTACTGTTCTATTTGGTATCATGTGCCCCACAATGGAAATGGAAAAAAAAAAGGAGAGTTGGCTGAGGCTGTCAGAAAAAAAAATGATAGACCAACACGTCAAAGGCTATGCACCCATCTCCACGTTGCTTGATGTCACTGTGACTACAGTTGCAAATATTATTAATAAGTTCAAGGTCCATTGAAATATGCAGTGCTTTCTAACACTGGGCAGTATGTTTCACTCCAGAATTCTTTGATAGTCTGGGGATTTCATTGTGCCCTTTACTGATTCAAGGCAATCTGTACCAGATGCAGCACAGTAGCCACAAAACATAACTGAGCCTTCTCCATGTTTCACAATAGGCACAGTGTTTTTTTTCTTTGAAAGGTCCTTTTTTCCCCCGTAAAAATAGAGCTGACGTGACTTGCCAAAAAGCTCCAGCATTGTCTCATCTGTCCAATGGACATTCTCGTGGAAGCATTGAGGTCTGTCAATATGCATTTGAGCAATTTCCAGTCAGGCTTTTTTAGGTTTTTCTTTTAACACTGAATTCCTCCTGGGCCTACTTCCTTGAGCTCACCATCACTCAAAAAGCAATGGAAGATGCCATCAGACACTAATGTACCTTTTTTTTTAACAACAGCTAATCCGCGCTAAATGGGTACCAATAAGCTAAGTGTCAAAATTAAATATATATATAAAGTCCACTGCCGTGCCAACTATGTAGTGTGAAATTCTTAAAACAATGCACCGCACTGAACCTTTCAATTACTGAAAACAAATAAATACAGGTGAAACTCGAATAATTAGAATATCGTGCAAAGTTCATTTATTTCACTAATGCAACTTAAAAGGTGAAACTAATATATGAGATAGACTCATTACATGCAAAGCAAGATAATTCAAGCCGTGATTTGTCATAATTGTGATGATTATGGCTTACAGCTCATGAAAACCCCAAGAACCCCAAATCCACAACCTCAAAAAAGTAGATTATTACATGCAATCAATAAAACAAGGATTGTACATAGAACAATATCGGACCTCTGAAAAGTACAAGCATGCATATGTACTCAGTACTTGGTTTGGGCCCCTTTTGCAGAACTTACTGCAATTACTTTTGCACGATATTCTAATTATTCGAGTTTCACCTGTAAATATACCCCTATGAGAAAGGTCATAAACTTTATAAACTTAATAAAATCAACCTCAAATAAATTATTTGAATCCAAGGTGATACAGTCTTATGAGACTTGATAAGTGTCCAATAAATCAACCAGTGCATAAGTGTTCATATAGATCGATATCAAACAGTGCACAAATGCAGATTAATGTTCATATAAATCTGTATGATATACTGTGATTTGGGAACTAATGCCTCTAAGAAAATCACGGAGTATCTTCCTTCAATGATCGATCTCCTCTGATATATATATATAATAAGAAAATAAAAACACTCACCAGAAGTTTCTGACCATGCATTCAAATGGTCATGCTGAGCAAGGGTGAGCGTGCTCTACTTCAATACCGATCCTCCAGCTGTCACTTTAGATTTCGGTAATCATCTCGCCCCTCAAACACCAAACGAAATCCAAGGAGCTCCCCAACTCGATTAAACGATCCACCCCACAAAGGGAAAAGGGATACAATAGTGTAGTATATCGAGATAAAATATTTATTAAAATGTAACTTACAAGTAAGTATACAATCATCAGCAGGCTGGTCAAGCGTCCACCACAAAACTAGCCTCAGACGAAAGTAACACAGCACGCACCACTTCCTATGCGTTTCGTCACTGGGACTTTTTCAAAGAGGGTGTACGTGCTGAGTTAGGGAGATACAATTTATACATCTCACCATGAATAAATTTACATAATCTGATAACATGGTATCCAATCATGTCATAAAGACATGAAATTAAAAACAACACCCCTTTTGTATACAAATATTTTTACCCAAGAGTCCCAGTATTATCCAAATGAGTACATTAAATACTTCAAATCTAATTCTATGTTTAATCCTCCTGGATGCAGTGAACCCAGGGAGTGAATCCACTTAGTCTCATTCTGAGAGATCTGCCTCTTGAGGTTAGAACCCCTCCAGTGTTTATGCATTTTGTCAATCCCTATTAGTTTGAGCCCCTGGGGTTTTTTTTCCATGGGATAATAGAAAGTGTTTAGAGAGACTATGTTTTTGATATTATTTATATGTTCATGAATCCTTACTTTTAGCTGCCTAGTAGTTCTACCTACATATTGGAGGCCACATGGGCACTCCAACAAGTAGGTGACGTGTACTTGAACAAGTAATACATTTTTTAATAGTAAAGGTTCTACCGTTCACGGATGTAGAGAATTGGTTAACTCTGATTCTGTTATTAGTAACTTCACACACATTACATTTTTTACATTCTTTGTCGACTTATTCTTCAGCAGTTCACTTCTATCCAATCGGACTATCTTCCCCTGTATGTCTTCTGTATATTCTTTTTTATATCCTTTTTCTTGGAAACGTTTTAAGATATTTTTTGATTGTTCCTCATAGGTCACATAGTAAGGTACAATTACGTCGGACGGATCTCTCAGAATGAGACTAAGTGGATTCACTCCCTGGGTTCACTGCATCCAGGAGGATTAAACATAGAATTAGATTTGAAGTGTTTTCTTACTAATGATTAGCATTATTATCAATGTATTTAATACTCTTTTGGATGAAATGGACCCGGAGACCCGGAAGTAAGCCCTGGCCTAAATCCTATCGAACATCTATGAAAAGAGCTGAAACATGCAGTCTGGAGAAGGCACCCATAAAACATAGGACAGCTGGAGCTGCTCAAGAAGAGTGTTAGCAAGTGCAAACGTCTCATTGAGAGCTACAGAAATCGCTTGTGTGCCGTTATTACCTCTAAAGGTCGTGCAAAAAAAATATGAGGCTATGGGTTCCATGATTTTATTCATGCAATTTTAATGTTTTATTATTTAAAATATTCTGTAAAATCATACAGCAACGTTTGATGGAATAGACAATGACGGCTGCCAAATGTTTTGTCAATCTTTTAGTTACTTCAGAGAAAATTGTGGTTTCTTTGTTGTGGAAGGATACCAATAAATTTGTCCGTGTGTGTATACTACACTTTAATAATAATCAGATTGGGTCTTGAGTCAACTAGCATTACTACATGGTAACCAGCAACCTGCTGTGAGCGCAGTTTTCGCAGTTCCTATGCAGCTCCTATGCAGCATTGTAGGCTGACCCATTCTGACCTGTGATGCATTTTGAGTGTTTTTTAAGACAGTTGGCACAGTAGTCACTTTAGCTCTTGTCAGGGAGCTCTCGGAGGGCTGCAGCATTGTGTTTGCATTGAGGAGCTTATTCTTTTAGCAAATTTCATATGATCAAACCCCTCACAATGATCTGACATGTTGTTTTCAAGAATTCAATGAGCCTCCTTTTTGATTTTGCTTAGGCCACAAAGGATCTAGAAAACTATGACGCTGCTCGACATGAAGAGTTCAAACGCTATGAGATGATGAAGGAACATGAGAGAAGGGAATATCTCAAGTCACTGGATGAGGACAAAAGAAAAATGGAAGAGGCTCACTATGAAGAGCTGAAGAAAAAGCACAGGGAGCATCCCAAAGTAAACGTACCTGTAAGTGTGCTAGAGCATAGCTTGTTGTTATGTCACCAGCTTGTTTAAACTTGCAACTTTTGGCAGTTAAAGTGAACCCATCATGTTCCATAATATAATATACCTGAGCCTAATAAAGTATATACTCTGTGGAGCCTGCAAGTACCTATGCTTCTCTCCAGGTGAGCTCCTTTGTGCCTGTAGAGGATCCTGTATCCAAACTGAGATTCATCTCCATCTGTCAAGTATCTAAGCCTCTACTGACCACAAAGGTTCTGGCATTTGACAGTTAAATGACAGAAAGTAGGGTATAAGGCTGAAGGGGTTGGTGCTTAGCACCTACTTCGAGTGGCCCTGGATACAGTCTGGGCTTGGGATTCTGGGTCCCCCACATGACTAAAGAAACTTATGTGAAGACATGCGCAAGTACTTGTGCCTGCATTTTACCAGTAACGTTAAATTATATACTTTGATGAACATAACAAATTCACTTTAAAGCTGAACTCCAGGAACAAATGAAAAATGGGCCTCCCTCCCCACTGCAAGGGTTTACTACTCGTTTTGCCTAGTTGATGATGCATAAGGGGATATTATTACCTTATTCATCGTTCTCCTCCCGTCTGACTCTACAGAATGTGGACAGCCCTCGGTGTCCTGCATTGTTGGGGTGATGACGGATGGTTTCGGAGAGCTAGTCACACTAAAAGGAGAAAGCCTTTGGTATTGAGGAATACAGAAAGTATATCACCTTGCTTATCATCCCCTAGGCCAGGGCTCAAAATTTCAAGTCCTGAGCTACTAGCCAGGCCTTAAGAGTTACTAGCCATCAGTTGCCCCACCTAACCCTTACCCGGCCTTAACTCCGTCCCTAAACACACCCACTTAAATAATCTTATGATTCTTATCTTATGATAGTTGCCACTTGTAAACGGCAGATGAGGGATTCGTGCTGCAGGAAAACGCAAGTTCCTGACACAGGAATCCCTAATCACACCTGAAATATACTGTAGGTGTGAATGAGGCCTAATATACACATACACTGAAAGTGCTCATACACCTGCTGATTATCATACGATAGTTGTGGGTGATCCCGCGATCGTACGATAATCGGCAGGTGTATGGGCAGCGTGCGACTGCTTCTACTGTTGAGTGCGTGCGTTTGTCATCTGTTTTGTCATCTGTCATCTGATGAGTGCATTTGTCATCTGTTTTGCTTGACTTCTTCTACTGTAAGGTCGCACGACTTTCAACTTCCAAGCACGCTGGAAACACACACACACACACACAAATATAATAATAAATCCCCCCAGCCCCCTCACCTGTTCACGTCTTTGCAGGGAGGAGGCTGTGAGCAGGATCGATCCCTGGTTATCCCCAGGGATCGATCCTCCTCACATACATTCTTTCCTTCGGCCGAAGCTCAGAACTGTGTAAAATATTACACTCAACCACCCCCGAGCCCCCCAGCCCCCTCACCTGTTCACGTCTTTGCAGGGAGGAGGCTGTGAGCAGGATCGATCCCTGGTTATCCCCAGGGATCGATCCTCCTCACATACATTCTTTCCTTCGGCCGGAGCTCAGAACTGTCAGAGCTCCGGCCGAAGGAAGCCAGAGCGGACAGGAGC